CGTTAAAATTGCATAATCGATGGTCGAATTATGCCTTTAAGACCTTGGTACATTTCGTGTTTATTTACCATTAATTTTTTTTATTGAGATGTTCCAAGTGCCTGTGGTTGGAGTGCTTGTTTGACAGTGATCAAGAAACTACGTAGATGCTTACAAGTTACAGTTGAACTTGGGAGATGCACTTGAACTTGCAACTTACAAATACAAGTTCAAGCAGCAACTTCAAAACATTGGGCATAAGGGTATGCAATAGTGAGATAAGAAATATCCTGCGTGGTTACTTACTAATTAGACAAGAACCAGATCGTGGTTCTGCAAATTTTATTACCACCAAATATACGATTAGTTTATACAAAAAGTATTATCACCAAAACTTCATGCAGCACGCTTAGCGACTACAGTAGTACAGTACACAGCCATTGACATTCTAGTTGGCCGCCTGCTGCAAACGCCTGCCTATCACGTAGACGAAAAGCCGGCCGCCGACACATACCTATCACCCGCTCTACGTCTCGCAAATGTCTATCAATAATATCACAAATATCTATTTTGTTGTTGTTTGTGCACAGCGGCATGCATGTGGTGTGTTGCAGAGGAGTATTTGAACGGCATTTACAGGAAATTACCAGTGATAATAGGCGAAAGAGAGTAAAGAAACATCATCAAGACTAGTTGTAAATACATTTTGTATTTATTTACCATCATTTTATTATTGACACGTTCCAAATGCCAGTGAGTACGATTACTAAAGTGTACGTCTGTACGAGGTTATATTTAGCAGATACTGGGTTATTTGCGAATACACATCTGAACGTATATTCCTCATTACCTAGTTTTCCCAAATGTTTCTATTTTCTGTAGCATATATATATAAGGTCTGTGTTTGTGCAGTTTGAGTGTCTCCCAAGAGAAATGAATTTTTTACAATTATAGTTTCAAAGTAGAGGGTATATACTTCCGAGTAGTTTGATATAAACTATATATTAATGTCGTCTTCTTATAAATTTCTAAGCGCTCATGTTGCAGATACCACGTACCGACATTTCCGGTGACATTTCCTAATGAGAGATCTCTCTCCGCACATGCCTAGTATGAATCGTATCTCCAAAGTGACATTTTTGCACAAATCATACGTTTAAAATGGTGAGCAAAATATTCCTCGCAGTAATCAGCCATCAAATATATATCCCCGTTCCGCTATTAAATAATGATAGCGTCACTTGACAGACGTAATAGTAATGCATAGTAATAAAGACGTAATTAATAATTTACTTATTATCTATTAATAATGCGCGGCATCGCAGTCTCTATCGTTGAGGATTCAACATAAATTGACATATTATGTAAAATAATGCAATTGGGCATCTTCGTATATATCAGGAGTTAATAAATACAAATTATAATTAATAAGACAATATATAAAACAAATTAAAAATAATAAAGACTCCTGGCGCTATATACGTCAGATTATAGTATATCATGGGTGATAAAAAGAAGCCCCCTTTATCTATATTTAAAGGGTTGAATTCCCATTTAGTCTACTCTTGGATATTATATATTATTTATAATATTAAATGTCTTATCTCCCCAGCATACTTAGTCGTCTACTATATATATATTATAGTATATTTATATACTTATATTATGAGCAAGCCTTCAACCCAGTGCAGAATTCGCTTACGAAAATTATAATATAACAGATTGTTCAGGTCCCTATAATATTAATTTAGCTATTATTGTTTGGTGACTAGACACACCAGCCAGATCGCTGTGGTATCAACTCCACGACAGATGAGCGGCTTTCCTTCGCTCATGCGCTTCCAATCTACCTGGCCTCCAATTCTACCAATGCATTATGATACTACACCAAGGGTATGTATCTTCCAAAAGGGTAGTATTGACCCCAAGGCGTGTAGTATACTGGTGAGACTAGTATGACCAATGCGTAATCCTGATTGTGATGCGAGCGGCACTGCATGCACGTTTGTGTGGTTGGCTTGTGTTGGGCCTGTTCGGGTCCGTGTGTGCCGTCTGTGCCTGTGTGTGTTTGTGTGTGCGCTGCTGTCGGCGGTTGCTGTGCTGTGCTGTGCCCTGCGCCCCTCCGGACCGGAGCGCCGCTCGCGCGCTTAGGCGTGTCAGCCACTGCCCTGGACGTGGCTGTGGCGTGCGTATGTGTGGCTGTGTAGCCCGTGGTCCGTGTGTGTGTGTGTGTGTGTGTGTGCGGCCGCGCTGTTGTGTGTCGTGATGTGTGTGTGTGTTGTGTGGTGTCGTTGTTAGCACGCTTTAACGTGCCAATATCTGTTCACAGCTACGAAAATTTACCAAATTTAAATACAGTTGTCGCCCCCCCCGTTATTATGGTACCTATAACATCTAGTATTTTATTATAATATATATATATTTATAGTATGATTATTATAGTATATTATAATATATATAATAATTATGGCGTATTATATATACTATACTGATATATATATAGGGTTATTAATTAGTTCGAGAAGTGAGATATAATAGGGTGAATGATTCTCCTATTTATCCTATATTACCTGATATACTAGTATATGGTATATATAATAGCCAAGTCATCTCATATATGTTGAATAGCGCGTGTCGTAGTCTAATACATCAGCGGTCCCATCGGGGGGCGCTGCTACAGCGCGGGTGGGCGTCAGCGGGTCTCTTGGACCCCTTCCCTCTGCATCGTCGATCATAAAATATTCTTCTGGGGGGAGTATCCTGTATCACTCCGCGCTGGCATCTCAAGCCGTAACCTTGGCTAACATAGATTGTATCAACCGGTGTCGTTGATTATGTCAGATATATACGTGGAGGGTCAATTTCACCGACGGCAAAGCTCCATCGGTCCACCTCGTTCTAGTCGCTATAGCCATCCTACTGACCCACGACGGCTACATGGACTCTTGACTTGGAAGCACTTAGATGGCGCCGTACTGAAGCGGTAATTTTAATCACACGCTTTAGCGAACCAAGTCGCGAGAGAGAGAGAGGCAGACGGATGAATGGAGAGGAGAGAGATGAGGAGAGAAAGCGTGCTGCGAGAAAAGAGTGAGACCGGAAGAGCAGCGCAGAGCGAGAAGAGTGACTGTCTGAAGAGAGAAGAAGAGTGACTTTAGAGAGAGAGGGACGAGAATACAACGAGAGACGAGACGATGAGAGAGGAGACTAGGGGATGAGGAGAGAGGAGTGCGAGGAGAGACCGGCATGGACAGAGAGTAGAGAGATGAAACGAGGATTGTTGACGAGATTGATGAATCGCAGAGGAGATTAGAGACGAGATGGAAGCTTCGTCCGTGAATTATCGTGTGATGAATCCGGTCATACTAATACATAGATGATTCGCAAGCGTTTCAGTAAACGGTGCCGCAGAGAAAGCTAGTGAGAAAAACGTGTGAGAATAGCTCACTGTGGTCATCTTATGTGGTGTGGGGTGNTGTGTGTGTGTGTGTGTGTGTGTGTGTGTGTGTGTGTGTGTGTGTGTGTGTGTGTGTGTGTGTGTGTGTGCGTGTGGGTGTGTGTCGGGTGTTTGTTCTCGTAGCTGTAAGACTGATAACTCTGTCGTGCGTATCTTATCCGCTCCAGCTACATGACGTATATCTGCATGCTCATGTTCTGCGATGCTTCACTGTGTATCTTAGCGTCTCTTGCTATCTATATATCTCTCTATAGCTATATCTATAAATCAGGGTAAATGTTGAATAAAGGTGCAACCTGTCCTGAAATATCGTTTAATTACCTAAACAGCGCGGAAAAATCAAACAAACGACAACTAGTAATGAAATAAACCGAATGTACAAACGTTGTGTAAAAAGATGAAGGCAGAGGAAAGACAGAAAAAACAGAAAAAGAGGAGTTGACTTGCCATTGGGTTTCTTATCTTATGGTCTCAAGCCATTAATTAAAAACAATTAAACAATAAAATAACAACAATATAACAACAAATAATATTAATTGTTCTGAATTAACAATTGCATGATGGTTTTTAAAGTTTAATAAATGAAGAACAATTACCAACAGAAAATATGTTGAATTAATAATTATCAACATGTAATTATCTACTTTCTCTCTGTCATATATAACGAACGGGAACGGCATATATGACAAATGCCCCCCCCCCCGCCGCGCGTGTGTGTGTGTGTGTGTGTGTGATTGTGTGTGTAGTGTGGTGTGTGTGCGTCGCGTGCGTGGTGTGTGTGTGCGTGCGTGCGTGTGCGTGTGTGTCGTGTCGCGCTGCGCGCGTGTGGTGTGTGGTGTGGTGTGTGGGGTGTTGGTGCGTGTGTGATGTGTGTGTGTGTGTGTGTGTGTGTGTGTGTGTGTGTGTGCGTGCGTGCGTGCGTGCGCGTGTGTGTGTGCGCGTGTGTGCGTGTGTGTGTGTGCGTTTGTCTGTGTGTGTGACAGTGTGCATGTGTGTGCGTGTGCATGTGTGTGTGTGTGCGTGCGTGCGTACGTGTGTGCGTGCGTGCGTGCGTGCGTGCGTGTGTAAATTTCGCGGCAAACTCCTGTGGGGAAATCTAGCTTTCTCGCCGATGGAACCTCAATTGTCTCCACTCGACTTGTCACAGCTTGCAACCAACTTCCGTCTCCACCAACAAGCTTTTTCACATATCCACGCCTCTCTCCTAATCGCTCAGCAAGCTCTCCGGTCCAAAGCTGTAGGGTAAGAGCTCCTCTAGAGATTTGACGAGGAAGCTACCATCTGGTTTAGTCAGTATGACGAAGCAACTCTTCGGATCGTCACAGAACTGAAAACAAAGCGGTAAAGTGGAAGACGGTCGGTGAGATAGAGGGGGAGAGGGAAAGAGATATATATATATATATATATATATATATATATATATAT